AAAAACTACATCCAACTTCCCCATTTAAGTTCTCCCAAAAACATGCCATCAGGAAGAGAGTGAAGAGAAATTTTTAGCATTGAGGGGAAAAACTCACCAACCTAGAATTCTCTGCTCTGCAAAATTACCTTCCAAAGGGGAAGGAATTAAGACCTTCTCAATCAAAGTAAAGTTGAGGAGTTAGTCACCAGGGACCCTAACTTGAATTCTTTAAAGAAAAAAATATAGATAGATTAAAGAGTCAGATCTGAGGAAACAAAGATTATATATAGTTTATGGAGTGAATAAGTGAAAGCAAAATAAAACCCTTTTTCATATTCTTAATCTAACAGATTAATGTCAGATAAAGAAGCCAGACACCGGTGGCTCATGCCTGTAATCCCAGTTACTTAATCTGAGGATCAAGGTTCAAAGCCAACCCAGGCAGGAAAGTCCATTACCTCTAATTAACCAGCAAAAAAGTCTAAAGTGAAGCTGCAGCTCAAGTGATAGCATGCAAGATTTGAGGGGAAAAAAACAAAACCTCAGGGACAGTGCCAGGCCCTGAGTTCTAGCCCTGGTATCAGCATACTATTTTTTTTTTTTTAATCAGCTAAAAAGCCCAAAAGGAAAATCAGGTTTTGCTAAAGAAATAGGACCTGGAAGCCATCTCAGAAGAGGCATTGATCTCAGCATTCTGACTGTAAGTGTGCCTTTGGTCTGGGGGGGCAACTGAGGCAAATGATTCATTCCCCAAGTCTCAGCAGGTGCAAGGCCAAAGTAGTGCTCCAAGCCCCCGCTGGCTGGGCAGAGTGGTGGGAACAAGGCCTTCTTAGACCTCTTTGTCTTTTGTCTTCCTGGATGCATGAGCGGGCAGCTGACCTTTCTGAGGCATCCAGTAAATTCCCACAGCATCCTCGTCTGAGACTCTGCTATCCACTAGACCAGATCTGAAGAAAAGGATAGTGAAATTCTAACACTTCGAATGCCAGGAAGGAGAATGCCAAGGCCCAGACACCTACTCTAACAAATTAAAAAGCATATGTCGAGCCTGCAGCAAACTACGCTTCCACAAATAACACTACTGCCTTGGGGAACAGCAGAGACATTTGACCGGGCAGCAGCTGTGCAGAGGTTCTATTTAAAGACTTGGCTTCTGCAGCCTGAGGACTCTGTGCTTGGGATTTAGTTGGAAGGTGGAGAGAACACAACAAAACTGAGGAAGATTTTGGGGGGGGTAGGGTACCATCAGCAGGTGGTTGGCTGCTTTTGTGTACCCTAAAGATGTTAAATGAGCTCATCTTCTTAACATTATGTCTGTCCATCTTTCTTGGAGTAAGAAAATGTGGAAAGGGCTTAGAATGGTGTCCAGCACACAGTGCTTACTGAGTAGAAGCCATCAATACAGTCATTGTCATCTCTCTACCCACCTCCTTATACAAATATGAACAGAGATGGAGAAATGCTCCCCTCTGAGAACAGCTTGTGCCAGGCACTGGTGGCTCACACCTAGCTAGCTACTCAGGAGGCTGAGATCTGAAGATTGTGTTTTGAAGCCAGCCCAGGCAGACAAATTTGAGACTCTTATGTCTAGTTAACCAACCCAAAGCCAGAAGTGGAGGTGTGGCTCAAGGGATAGAGCATCAACCTTGAGCAGAAAATTCAAATGAGAGCATGAGGTTCTGGAGTTCAAGCCCATGGACCTGGACAAAAGGAAAAAGAGAAAAGAAAAAGAAAAGCTGCTTGTTACTAAATGATAGAATTTATAATGATTCAGGCTCAGTCTCTTTTTCAGATGTTTTTGGAATCCATGAGTTGCTAACAAATACATTTTAAACAGTCAGACCTCCAAACTCCACTGTGTTTCCCCAAGTAAATTCTTTCTCTTCTCTGAGGCTGGGATAGAAATGCTACTTACTTTGTTGAGTAGTTAGGAGAATGAAGTGAGGTATTCTGATACAGAGCTTGGCATAGTACCTCACAGTACCTGACTGAGAGCTAGCATGAGATGAGGATGATTGCTCTTATTAGTGGCAAAAATGGTGTCGCACCACTTCCTATCTTGGCTGGGAACATGTGCTACTCACCTCCATGTATAGAAGTGTATAGTAGAGTGGTATGGTAGAAGTTGGTGTTTTTTCTTGTTTTGCTGCTAAGGACAGAACCTAGAGCTTCTTACATGTGAAGCTTGGGCTCTGCCACTGGGTTATAAGGCCAGCCTACAGCAGGGAGTTTAAGTGGACTCACCTCAGGCATTTTACATGGGGCAGTGGCCTGAGAACATTGGCTCTTAAGACAGAAACACAAGTTGCAAAGGTCTCAAATAACCTCCTTCTCAAGGGAAAGATGCTAGCAATTGGGAAATGCCTGCTGTTCTTCTAAGACTGTTGACACTCTTGGAGGAAGTGAGGCCATTAGACTGTCTAGCTACTGGTCTCTCATTCTTCCAGTTGTGGCCAGTCTAAAACCAGGGCTATTGTTCTATGACTCTATGCTGCATGCATGTGTTTATGTCTGTGTACATATGCATTTTGGAGTTTATTTTACCCACAGCCTCAAACCTGTGATGTCAAGCAATCCTCTTCACTCAACCTTTCAAGTAGCTGGATCTGCAGGCATGTGTCACTGTGCCTGGCCAAGTATTTTCCTCTTAACTGTGGGAAAACACTTGGTGCTGGAGCTTGCATACCATCACTGACCTCCTCTCCCTACCTGCAACCCTACTACAGCTCAGTCCCATCCAATGTCTAATGTACATTTTGAGTGTTGCTTATCTGAAATGCTTGGGGTCCAGAAGTACTTTGGATTCCAAATTTTGTTATGTATATTTTCTTATACATAATGCAAAATTTGGTGGCATGGAATCCAAGTCTTAACACTAAATTCACAAATGCTTAATATATACATTATATGCATAGACTGAAAGTAATTATAGATATATATGTATTTTTTAGTGAACCTGTGTTTTTGTGTGTGTGTGTTTTTTTTTTTAAATTTATTTGTGAACATACTGTGAACCTGTGTTTTAACCAATCTGTTACGTGAAATCTGGGGTGGAATTTTCAACTGGTAGTACTGTATTGGTGCTCAAAAAGTCTGATTTTGAAGCATTTCAAATTTTGAATTTCTGGATTAGGGATGTACAACCTGTAATGCAAACCCTCAAATAAGAGCATGAGGAAACTGCAGGTATTGATCCATTGAACTTATGTGGATGTGCTGGAGGACTGCATTCTCTTATGTCTAAAACAGTCCTGATGTGCAGAAGATTCCTCCCCATATTCATGTTCTCTCTTTTTCTCAGACTTACTTTGTAAGTGGACTTTGAACTCACAATCCTTTTGTCTCAGCTTCCCAAACCCAGCTTAGCCTGGGATTACATGTATGTGCTACCATGCCCAGCTTTCCACATATTTTTTTAAAATGTTCTGCAATAAACACATGTTCTTTTTAAAATAGTAAAGAAAAACTTTAAAAAGTTCTATTCTTGATGTAGCTTAAAGGTAGATCCCTTTGCCTAGCATTTGAATGGCTCTGGGTTTGATCCTTAGCACCAAAAAGAACAAGGATAAAAAGAAAAAAAAATCTGTTATGTCACAGAAATTTTGTGAACATGCTGCTTTCCTTGTGCTCTAGCCTTTTAATCTGTATAAAATGCAGAGCCCATTTAAATTAGAGGGAGGGGCCTTAACCCTTATGTCAATTCCTTGAGACTGTTGAACCTCAATGAATCCATCCACCGTGCCATACAACATATTGGTAATAACATTTTTTTGTTTTGTTTTGGTCGTGGGTCTTGAATTCAGGGCCTGGGCGCTGTCCCTGAGCTATTTTGCCCAAAGCTAGTGCATTATACCACTTTGAGCCACAGCTTCCCACTTCCGGTTTTCTGGTAGTTAATTGTCCGGGCTGGCTTTGAACCGGGATCCTCAGCATTTAGCCTCCTGAGTAGCTAGGATTACAAGCACGAGCCACCGGCATCCGGCAGTAATTTCTTAAAATCCATGATGTCTGGTAGACACCAGCGGCTCGGGCCTGCCATCCTAGGAGGCAGAGATCTGAGGGTCACGGGTCAAAGCTGGCTCTGGCAGGAAAGTCTCTCACTTCCAATTAACCGCCAAAAATCCAGACGTGGGGCTGTGGATGGGGGTCAGCGTCTGGGCCCTGCCTTCAAGCTCCAAGACCGCACTCCCCCCCCCCCCCCCCGGCCCTCTCCACGAACACCTACTATGTGCCAATCTAAATCTGGCACTCCTTCTCGGTGGGGCTGGTGGAAGTGGGGACCAGGGGGCACAACAGGCACAGGTGTAGCCCCAGCGACTACTATAAAAACGACTCAAGTCGGCCACAGTCAGTCGGATCCGCGTGCGGTGACCGGCGGGCATCGCGGTGGACGTGTGAAAGCCGACGTGATGAACCGGGTGCAGTCCGGCTCTGACTTGAATCGTCTCAGGGCAGAGCGCACTGGGCGACGAGAACCCCGAGGTCGGAACCACGCAGAGGAGCACCCGCGGCCGTCCCCTCGCACCGCCCCCCCGACCCCCGCCCCGCCCCGGGCCCAAATCCCAACACCGGAGGGAGGGGCGGGATCAGGGCGCCAGGATTGATTGACATTCGGCCTCTTAGCCTATCACGACCCAGCGGCGTGAGCTTCTCCACCAATTAGCGTGCGCCTGGACTTGCGGCTCAAGTCCCAGCCGCAACTCACAAGTGAACGTGTTATCTTGGGGCCTACCCGGCCGCCAGCCTTTGGAACAAGCTACTCACCTTAAGAGCTGCCCCCCCCGGGGGTAGTGGAACTCAGTAGAGCTCCCCCCCCAACCCCCCGCGCCAGGGCGGGGCCGAGGTCAGAGGTCGAGAACAGGCTAGCCACCTAAATCCTCCCTCCCAGTCTTACTATGGGTGGAGAGTGAGAGAGTGACGCAGGCCCTGCCCTCTCGCGAGACCACCCCCAACCACGTGACCGCGGTGCGCGGACTTCCGGGCCGCCCCTCTCGGCTTCTACGGTCTTCGGTGCCGGCCTCAAGATGGCCGCCTTCGGGCGTCTCCGGCGCTGTTGAATGGTGAAAGCTTTATTGTTCCCTTCGGGCAGGAGTGTTCGTGTCCTCCACGGCGCTGTCAATAAAGAACCGCAGTTTGAATCGGTGCTGAGCAGGTAACCATAGAAACGAGGCTGGGACTCAGCGTGGAGACCCTTTTTTTTCCTTTGCAGCCGAGGCCCGAGGGGCTGGCTGAGGGGCACCCGGGGACCCTTCCGCGTGGCGGGCTCCGCGGGGCGCGCTTCCGCCCCGGCCGCCCGCAGCCCGTCACAGGACGCGGCCCTGCGGGGCGGGGCGGCCCACACGCGGGCTCAGGCCCCGCGGGGACCCGCCCGGGGCCGGACCGCGGCCTCGGGTCGCGGGGCGCCGCCGCGCCTCCGGGTCCGCACCCCCGCGGCGCCCGCCCGCGGCCCGGAGGCGCCGCTCCCCCTTCCCCCCTTTTGGCTCTTGTTTCCCAGGACCTCAGACGGGAGGCTTTTGTGTTTCCAGATAGTCGGAAGGGGAGGTAAATAATCTGAAATGAAACCTGGGTGCCTCCCCCCCGCCCCCCAGTGAAGTGTCGGGGAGACGTCGCCATGTTCTCTGTTGATGTGTGGTCTGGCCGCTTTGCTGCTCCGGGGCGGAGTTGAGTAGTTGGCGTGGCTGTTCCCCGTGCCTTCGAAGGCCAGGATCGCCAAAGCTCCAAACATTTCCGTCTGGCCCTTACAGAAGAAGCTTGCTGACCCCTGACCTAGACAGGAGTCGCAGGGGTCAGCGTGGGCCTTCCACCAGGTCCCTTCTCACGGCAGAGGGCCACTTGACCTTCTGGTCTTCACTGGTACTCGAAGTAGCCTGGCAAATTGTGCCCTTTATATTCTTTCAAGTTTTCTCCACCTGGAACTATTATTCTTCCTTGGAATTGTGTCCAAATCCAGGGTATGCCTCCTGAAAATGTGACCAATGTCAGAGTGAAACTTTTCTGTACTTCAGTCAGCAAATTTGGTCCTCAACCCTTAGTAGACACCTTTATGAAATGGGAGTAGTTTCCACCACATTTTGCTTTTCTCCCTTATTCACCCCTCTCCCCAGTACTAGAACTTGAACTCAGGGCTTCCTGCTCTCCCTTGTCTTTTCCCTGCTCTTCAGGGCTGCTGCTCTGCCACTTGAACCACACCTCCATTTCCCACACCTAGCTTTTGTTTTTATCATTTATTTAACAAATGGTTTGGAACACCCATTCTTACATAAATGTTCCTAATCATTGTTTTGTGAACACCTACTATGTACCAGGGATGATTCAAATCCCTGGAAATAGAGTAGTGTCGATGGCAAATATGATCTCAGTACTTTTATGAATTTTAAATTCTTTTTTTTTTTTTTTTTTTACTGGGGATTGAACTCAGAACTTCTCATTAGTCTTTATCACTTAATCCACACATATGGCCACTTTTTGAATGGGTTCTTATGTCCAGACCAGGGAGGGCTATGATCCTCCAACTTTGCTTTCCTGGATTTCTGGGAAGCCCTACATGCCTAGCCCCATTGGTTGTGATGGAATCTTGAAAGCAATTTTTTGTCTTGAATTTCAGGCCCCCAGTCTCCACCACCCAAGTAGCTAGGATTACAGGTTTGAGAGACCATAACTGGCTGTGGAATTTAAATTCTTTAGAGAGTGTGTTATTACCAGGGCACCTGATAATTTCTCCCCCCCTCCCCTCCTTCCCTTCCTCCCTCCCTCTCTCCCCCTCTTTCTCTCTCTTTCCCTCTCTCCCCCTCTCTTTCTCTTCCTTCCTTCCCTTCCTCCCCCCTCTTTCCTTCCTCCTTTCTTCTCTCTCGCTCTTTTTTTTTTTTGGTGGGTCGTGGAGCTTGGGTTGGGCACTGTCCCTGACCTCTTCAGCTCAAGGTGAATGCTCTGCCACTTAAGCCACAGGGCCAATTCCGGTTTTCTAGTGGTTTATTGGAGATGAGTCTCATGGACTTTCCTGCCCAGGCTGGCTTTGAACTCCTCGGATCTCAGCCTGCTGAGTAGCTAGGATTACAGGCATGAGCCACCAGTACCCAGCTCTTTCTTTCTCTTTTTGAGACAGGATCTATGTAGCCCAGGCTAGCCTTGAACTCAAGATACTCCTGCTTCAGCCTTCCCAGTGCTGGGATTACAGAGATGTTCAGCCACACTTGGCTCACAAAGATCATTTGAAACACACAGCTGTCATAGCATCGTGACTAAAAATAGTCGTTAATATTTGAGTAATTCCTTTGTGCCAGGTATTTGTACTAAATACCCTGTGTGTACTATCACTTAATCCTCACAGCAAGATGATATACAATTTGGTTTAAACAATTTTCAGTTTTAACACATAGTGTTTATCACCATTACTGTTTTATAAATAAGGAAACTGGCTCATAGATGGAGGAGAGATGTCTAAGCATTCATAGCTTATATCTGGGTATGGTGGCTCATACCTATTATCTTAGCTGCGGATCTCAGTTCCAAGTTAGTCCAGACAGACCCTCATCTCAGTAAAAAAGCTGGATTTATGGTGGTGCATATCTACCTTCCCAGTTACATGGGAAGTGTAAATGAAAGAATCTTGGTTAAAATGGACACTTTATGTGAAAAATGATGAAAGCAAAAAGGGCTAGGGGCTTGGCTCTGCCTAGCAAGCTGGAGCCTAAGAGTTCAAACTCCAGTAACACCAAAAAGAAGAAGATTACACAGTTTATGCCTAAGGGAGCTGAAGCTAAACGGATCATACCATGCTGTGTTATTTTGTTTGTTGTCTTTCCTGCTACCTTGGGGGATCCTCAAGGACAGGGAACACACCTAACTTTTTGTGTCCTCAGCTGCTAGCCAATGTTCTAAACCTCATGTTTCCAGGAAGATATTAAACAAATCCAGGTCCCTTGAGCAAATATTTGAGGGTTCACTGTATACCAAGCACCATTATAGAGGCCCTGTGATTACTAGGGCAGTCAGGGGGCACTGGGGTAGACACTAAAACTTAGTGTCTAGGCAGTGCAAAAATAACAGGGACTTAAAATTGTGGCAGCTGCTCTAAGGGGAACAAAACAGTGCTTAGATAGACTTAACCTGAGTGGTTGGAAGGTTTACTGTGGAAATTGATACATAACAGAACTAGTCCAGGAAGGGAAAAGGGAAAGAAGCCAAGGGGAAGAACTCTCCAGGGGCCTTGGAGACTATAAGGGGTGCAAGAACTTGGGATGTCAGAGAATGAAAGGAATGAGAAATTGTATTGTGCCCAGTGCCTGGCTCTGGATTTCTGTTGGTATACTTGCATGTTCTTGGCCAGTTAAAGATGGCTTGTCTGCTCTCTGTGTACATTTGGATATTCTTTAAGCGCCTGCTTAAAGAATTGTGTTTCTCCTTAAATAACAAAAAATGGTATTGATAGGCTTGAGATGGTCTTGCTGGTCTTGCACTGGTGAATTCAGGCTGCCCTCCTTCCTCAGCCTGGGTAGTTCTGGGAGCATGTTGTTATACATACTGCTGAATTCCATTTAGGAAACCAAAATTTGGCCCCCAATGCAAACTAAGGTACTAAATAACAAAAATGTGTTACAGACAATTTTAGGGCCGACACAAGTATTTTTTAGACTTGAGGGGGAAGGGAACAGATTTTTCTTGTTTGTGTTTAGGAAACAAGTTTTCCAAATGCGATTTAATTTTTTAAACTAAATTTTACAGTTGTCTGTGTAGATAGAGCATGGAAAGCTGGAAGCTGTGTGTGTGCCTCCATCACAGGTACCTGCATTTTGTGGGGAGGGGCAGTAGAGATGAAACCCAGGGCTCTAGCACATGCTCTACCACTGAACCCAAAATACTTTTCTTTGGTTGGTTGTTTTGTTTTGTTTAAACTGGTGTTTGAACTCAGTGCTTTGCACTTGCTGGGAAGGTACTCAGCCACTTGAACCACAGCCTCTAGCTCTTTTTGCTTTAGTTATTTTTTTTTTAAAGAATCTTGTATTTATGCCCAGGCTGTTCTGGACTGCAGTCTTCCTATTTATGCTTCCCATGTGGTTGGGATTACAGGGGTGTGTCACCATGCCCAGCTGTTGGTTGAGATGGAATCCAGTGAACCTTTTGCCTTCAGTCATGATCCTCTCGATCTCCACTAATCAAGTAGCTGGGATTACAGGCTTGAGCTACAGTGCATGGCCAAAAATCTGTGTGTGTGTGCGTGTGTGTGTGCGTGCGTGTGCGTGTGCGTGCGTGTGCGCGCGCACGCGCGCGCGCGCTAGCTTGCATGTGCTTGCCAGTTCTGGGACTTGAACTCAGGGCCTACACACTGTCCCTAAGCTGTTTTGCTCAAGACTAGTGCTCTATCACTTAAGCCACAGCTCCACTTCCAGCTTTTTGCTGATTAATTGTAAATAAGAATCTCACAGATTTTCCTGCCTGGGGTTGGCTTCCAACTGCAATCCTCAGATCTCAGCCTCCTGAATATCTAGTATTATAGGTGTGAACCACTGGCATCCAACAAAATCTGCATTTTTATTATTATTTCGTTGTTGCCAGTTATGGGGCTTGTATTTAGGGTTTGGGCACTCTCCCTGAGCTCTTTAGCTCAAGGTGAGCCCTCTACCACTTTGAGCACAGCACCATTTTCAATTTTCTGGTGGTTAATTGGAGATAAATGTCTCACAGACTTTTCTGCCTGGGCTGGCTTTGAATCTCTATCCTCTCAGACTCCTGAGTAGCTAGGAATACAGGCTTAAGCCACAGGTGCCTTGCTAAAATCTGCATTTTTAAAGGCAGTTTAAGAAAAGATCAGGCTTCTAGTTGGTGGTAATTTCCAAATTTGATGTTTGCAGATAAGGTATTTCCTGTCAGTATTTTCAAAATAATGTTGCATACTTTTAACACAGAATATTGAGTGCTTTGGAAGAAGTAGCAGGCTTTTTCTTTTTGAACAGGTAAACATAGGATGATGTTTGGGCTGATGAACATAAGTCATTAGAGGCAGTAATAAATCAAGGGACCTATACAAGTAAGACAGCAGTGTCAAGTTTTGCTTTAAACTATATCCACTAACTGCCTTGCACATATCATCAGAAGATATAATCCAGTTCAGCAAATGGAGCAGTGAACTGGACAAAGAGTGGCATGTTAATGCAA